ACAAATTCATCAAATTTTATTTTATTACGCGAGTTATCGAATGATTTAGATGTCAAATGATGAGACAGCGTTAATATTCCTACCAAGGAACTCCAGCTCTGATGACGTTGCTGCTGCGGTGTGCCGCAAGTGCTGTGTCTGTTGCTAGATGACAAACTGGCGTTGCTACTTGCTCTACTCAATTGCAACGGTGCGTTTATTAATTTCCATCGTTTCCCTGTCAATTCAGAGCGAGTTATACCAGTACGGTAGTACAAACATCGATCATCATAGCCAATGGCCCATACCTTCATAGTACAAAAATAAAGAGTTAGCAATAAAAATGCATATACAATTCGATATATAATTTTCTATTTTCTTTACGACATAAGTTGCGAATTGATTAACATCGTTACTTGATCATTTGGGGCAACGGATATTAATGCCATTTTGCTTAACATTTCAACCCAACCGGTTCCAGTGGCTAATTGTTCACAAACGCCACTTATTTCACCTTGAATGCCCTTTCGAAACCATACTCCGCTATCATGCGTTATAGCCCATACAGCATCAGTACCGACACTAACTTGTACCAATCTCAAGTCTTTCTGCGGTGGTTCCACTTCCGACCAATTTTCACCTTTAATTCATACTATTTTATTAAAGTATTAGTATATCTCAATAGCTGCGTTCGGACATTAATGTTAAATAAAGACAAGATGATGAATTCAAGGCATCGAAGGCAATGTTTCCGAACGCAGCCAATGTAACTAGATTTTATCTTGTTCATTTACCCATTGGATTCTCTCTTGTCACGCCTGTACGAACTAACGCTTTGCCTACCATAAGTACAGCCCAAACAAGACCGGTTGCTCCAACACTAATTTGACATACTTCGTAGCCATTTGCTAATTTGATAGAACTCCATCTTTGTCCTTCAGGACAGGTTGTACTTGTTCCAACACGGAACATGATCTAAATGACATAAATTGATACAAATAGTAATCTAATTTTTTAATTAAATATTTATATCTTTCGAAAAGCTATAATAAAAAAAAATTATACCCTTCCGTGAGCCGTTACCGCCCAGACTACTAAATTACCCGAACTACTTCCAGTCATTTGATTACCACCCACTGCTATATCGATAAAAGGTTCCTAAAAACATATGTGGCGTTCATGTATGTATATGTATATGTATATATATGTACATATATACATATATATATATGAATATAAATAAAATGTAATTGTGTGTGTGTGTGTGTGCGCGTGCGTGTGCGCGCGCGTTAAATTGTCAAAAATAAATAGAAAAATATTATAATATTTCATCACCTTAGTTGGATCTTTATGCAGAGGTGCAATAGCACACCATGAATTCATAGCGCTATATCTCCGATAACGAACCCATTTACGTCTTCTTACACAAGACTTCCACTGCTTTTTTGTAGTATATGTAGCTGGAAAGTCAATTGCGTATGTCCATCCCTATATTAAAACATCAGATTCTCTGTGATCATAAGATTTTCTTTGGTCGTGGGCACAACTGTTAACAAATCTATACATAAACAAAATCTTATGAAAAATATAACACTTACGGAATGCGCAAAAAATATATTTAGTGTATAATTCTAGATAGATTCTATGTAAAAACAATGTAGAAAATATTAAGCTTTCTCTACGAAGATGTTTCGGTACCGCAATTACTTTTTAAAGTTTACTTATACAATTAAGTAGCCAAAAATTACCTCTCTTTTAAAAGTGATAATTATTACATATACAGGTTCATTTTACACAATTTTATTGTTGCACTCGCGCGATCGTTCCGCTAATTCGGCTAATTCGTAATCGCAAACCCGTATGTGCACTCCCGAGGAGTGGCTGCAGGAATAAAAGGGACATACGTTTAAAGAAAGCGAGATTCTTTATTTATTAACGTACAATGGCGAAAGAATACGAACAGCGTACAGATACGGAAGCGGTCTCAGAGCACGTCCGAACGTACAAGCGACAGCTCATCCACAAAATCAATTTCGTCCGAGACGTCCATTTGACAGTTCGGAACAGCTCAGAAACTGATAGTTTCCGATAACGCACTCTTCAGTTTTATTTCTTCTACCGATCATTCGTCTCTCCACTCGTTCGGAAACGGCACGGCACGAGCGTAACAATATTAAATGTATAAAATTATAAATTAAAACAGAAAAGGAAACACATAATACAGCAATACAGATTTTTATAAGCATTAAGGACTGTATTTACATCATGATCTAATGGCTGGCCATCTAATGTTGTTTCAATTTGCCAGTCACCTTCCCATTGCCATGCCATTGATGGCAATTTTACTTTGTCTCTACTACGATCAACTGTACCATCTTGATTGGAAAAATTGTATCTGTCCGTTGGAAGCAGTCTTCCAGAAAAACCCTCCAAAGGCAACCATCGCTAACATGATGTTTATCATTATTAATTGTCGTTGATTTATGTGCTTATTGAATTATTAACTTATAATGGTATATATTTTAGATAGACGTACCTCATTCTCATAAGTTTCTTCTTTGATTCTAATTGGTATGTCTAAGCCATGAACATGAACATATACTTGACGATCACCACCAATGGCCCACATAAAATGTGGTACTGCTGATAATTGTTTAAATTCAAGGCCTAAATACATAAATTCCCGCCACATATTTCCCGACGTTGATAATCCAAACACACGCCCTTCATTATTAATGGCATATAAATACGAACTTGGCATTTTTAATCTAATCTTCACAAGTTTACCTGTAAAAAAATTTGTAAAAATTTTGTTGCTGTTTGATGTTCATTTCTGTAGATTACTCCTCTTAGCAAAATGCATATGCACACACGCATGTACGCACGCACGCACGCACGCACGCACGCACGCAC